AAAAAAAAAAAAAAAAAAATGAGAACCACTGTCCTAGGCCCTGATGTTTGCAGACAACTAAAAAAGGAAGTGGACATCCCCAGTCACCTGTGGCGCACCAAGAACACATGGGAACATAACCTAATTTTCTAAATGGGTTACTAGGCACTTAGAGCAAAACAATGATGCTGAAATCCTGATTTCAGGAAAGCCTCTGCCTGCCTGTTGTGGACGTGTCCACACGAGGCTCCTGGGGCCTTGGTGTCCCCAGCAGTTTCTAGTCTCCAGGTCTTGCTGTGGGTGTCTGTGCAGTGAGGGTGTGTGTGGCGCTAAGCGAGATCTGTCTAGGCCTGGCACAGGATGCGGTCTGGTAGCTGCTGCTTCTCTTCTGCAGAAGCGCAGCCAAGCACCCTCTGGGGTTTCCTGCCCACACCCAGCCTGAAGTTCTGGGAGTGGCTCACTTTCCAACCTTCAGGGTCTCCCAGGAGCTGACTGGGGAGTGGTGGAGGGAAAAGGATTGTATTAGTCTGTTTTCATGCTGCCGATGAAGACCTATCCGATACTGGGCAATTTACAAAAGAAAGAGGTCTGATGGAGTTATAGTTCCACGTGGCTGGGGAGGCCTCACAATCGTGGCGGAAGGTGAAAGGTTTGTTTCACATGGTGGCAGACAAGAGAAGAGAGCTTGTGCAGGGGAACTCCCCTTTATAAAGCCATCAGATCTCGGGAGACTTACTCACTATCATGAGAACATAGGGGCAGGGAAAACCTGCCCCTACGATTCAATCCTCTCCCATTGGGGCCCTCCCACAACGTGTAGGAATTGTGGGAACTATAATTCAAGATGAGATTTGGGTGGGGTCACAGCCAAACCGTATCGGGGTGTCCCAGAAAGGGTGTGGGATCTGAGACCCGGCTCGGCGTGAGGAAGTTTGCTTCTCGAGGTGGCCTAGTCGGGTGGAAGTGGCAACCAGGCTGTCTCTCCACCAGGCCACTCAGGTGGCAGCTGAGAGACCCCTGCCCTGGTCAGTCTCCGCCCTCCCCTCCTGCCACTGCATCTGGTTCTGAACAGATGGGCACCCTCATCTTGTGTTTGTGATAAATGTCTAACCATGTAGTTTTGTGAGAAGTGTTTGCCGCAGATGCTGTAAACTGTGGCCTGGGGCAGACCTCACCTCCAGACAGGCCCTGAGGCTGGCGAGGGCACTGGCCCATAGTGGCTGGCCGAGAGCTCTCAGGTTGTGCCACGCAGGACACAGGGATACTTTTCAGTGCCTGGGTCACTATCCAAAGTGAGAAAACAGGGAGGGACCAGGAGGCTGCCCGCCTCAAGGGATGTGGGGGCCGGGCCCAGTTATCTGAGGAAGCAGTCAGCTTCTCTGCTGTTTCCACCACCCAGGCCTCCCCTGGTCTAAGGCAGGGCCTCCCAGCCTTGGGGAGGTTTAAAGATACCTGGGCCTGGCCCCATCCCCACAGTCTGACTGAGTGGGTCGGGATAGGGGCGTGGGCATTGGCGATTTCCTGGGTGAAGGGAGGCCCGCTGCAGTCTCTGGAAGCTTCTCTGTGTTAGGAAGAGCTCTGGGCTTGACTCTGCTTGGAGAGTCAAGATCCGCAAATCCTCTCAGCCTCAGTTTCTCCTTCAGCAAGGTGAAATGGAAATGCTGTACCTACGTCCCAGGGGGGTTGTGAGACCCCCCCCCAAAAAAACAATGTTCTGGAAGGTTCCTGGTGCGTTGCAGTCCTCTAAGAACCTGAGTTAGAGCCATGCTGAGTCTCGCTTCTTGGCTCCTTCTGTTTCCAACTTGTCCATGTGATGGCTCAGGAAGGGTGGGCAGGGCCCTGCCCCTACTCAGAAAACACCATCCTGGTCCCAGGGATCCCCGCAGCGTTAGTCCCGTTTTCCGTGTGTTGAGAAAAATTGCTGACAAGCAGTGGGGCACACCACCAGCCTCCTGGGTTCCTTTCAGTTTGGGGATTTTTGGACATTCCCAGGAATGTCAACTTTCTCTTAAAAAACACTTCAAAAAACATTAACATAAATATTTTTATCAAAGCTTGTATTAAATGGTCTTTCAAGAAAATATAGTAACAGGCCAGGCACGGTGGCTCACGCCTGTAACCCCAGCACTTTGGGAGGCCAAGGCAGGCAGATCACCTGAAATCAGGAGTTCGACACGAGCCCGGCCAATGCAGCAGAACCCCGTCTCTACAAAAAATACAAAAATTAGCTGGGTGTGGTGGCGCACACCTGTAGTCCCAGCTACTCGGGAGGCCGAGGCAGAATTGCTTGATCCCGGGAGGTGGAGGTTGCAGTGAGCTGAGATTGCGCCACTGCACTCCAGCCTGGGTGACAAGAGTGAAACTTTGTCTAAAAAAAAAAATCTGTTTTTCAAAGTAGTGACTGCAAATGAACAAAATATGCATCTAGCTTAAACAGGAGCCTGGTTTTCTCTATGCCCATTCAAGCCTGCTGCAATAGGGGCCCTTCAGCCTGGATCCATGGACTCCTAAAATTATATGGAAAATGGCTGTGTGGGTGTGAGTGTGGGTGGACATGTGCACACATATTTTTGGCTTTACCAGATGCTCAAAGAGCCTAGGACCCAACAAGGGCTGAGGATAACCCTGTCGGCCGCTTCAGGGTCATCAGGAATTACTGTGCGCCGCTCACTTCTCCAGTGAATGCTTTCTGCTTCTGCGTTTCCTGGTATACTTTGGGGCTCCTGGCTGGGTCATGTGTTTCTCTACTTTCAAAAGGGCTTCAGCCAGGCACGGTGGCATGAGCCTGTAGTCCCAGCTGCTCGGGAGGTTCAGGTGGGAAGATTGCTTGAGCCCAGGAATTTGAGGCCAGCCTGGGCAAGTAGATAGATAGGTAGATGATTGATAGATAGATAGATAGATAGATAGATAGATAGATAGATAGATAGATGGATGTATAATAGATGGATAGATAAGTCGCTAGACAGACTCCATCCTAAATCACCCATCCACCCACTCACACATAAAAAGGCCTTTGTCATGTCATGTTTTGTGGCCCACCTGCCAGTGCTGCCCACAGTTGCTGCCCCTCCAAACTCATCAGTCACTGGCAAACAGGAGGAATGTGTGTGGCTCATGTCTGGGCATCAGTGGCTCTGGGAGACATCCTTGATCTTCTCCAGCTTCTCCTTCCACATTTTCCTTTGCAATCTGGCAATATCTATCAAAATAAAATGCGCATGCCTTTTGACCTAAGAGCTCCACTTCTAGGACACACTTACAGGTGTGTGACATGATGTTCATTCAGGGTTATTTATCTGAGGTTGTTCATACACACCATTGCCTGTAATCACTAAAGGCGGGAGCAGCCTAGGCATCCATCCACAGAGGAGTAGACGCCTTTGGATACATCCGTGGTGACGGAATACTAAGCAGCCTGTGTACATATACACTCACACATGTGTTTGTTTATGTGTGGAATATCTCGGCAGGATACACAAGAAACTTAATCACTGTCTCTGGGGAGGGTACCTGGGTGCCTGGGAGGCAGGTCAGGGGAAGAGTGGGCACAGGGATTACGAATTGGAAGACAATAAAAACAACAGCTTCTGGCCAGGCACAGTGGCTCACGCCTGTAATGGCAGCACTCTGAGAGGCCGAGGCGGGCGGATTGCTTCCGCCCAGGAGTTCGAGACCAGCCTGGGCAACATAGTGAAACCCCATTTCTATTAAAAATACAAAAAACTAGCCAGGTGTGGTGGCATGCACCTGTAATCCCAGCTACCCGGGAGGCTGAGGTGGGAGGATCACCTGAGCCTGGGAGGTTGAGGCTGCAGTGAGGTGAGATTGCACCACCTCACTCTAGCCTGGGTGATAGAGCAAGACCCTGTCTCAAAAACAAACAAACAACAGTCCCTGGCACTGTGGGCCAGGCCTGGCAGGGCAGTTGGCAGGGCTGGTCTCTCTTTCTCTGGCACTTCATCTCACCCTCCCTCCCTTCCTCTTCTCCTTGCAGATTGAAACCCACAAGCTGACCTTCCGCGAGAACGCCAAAGCCAAGACAGACCACGGGGCGGAAATCGTGTACAAGTCGCCGGTGGTGTCTGGGGACACGTCTCCGCGGCACCTCAGCAACGTCTCCTCCACCGGCAGCATCGACATGGTAGACTCGCCCCAGCTCGCCACGCTAGCCGACGAGGTGTCTGCCTCCCTGGCCAAGCAGGGTTTGTGATCAGGCCCCCGGGGCGGTCAATAATCGTGGCGAGAAGAGAGAGTGAGAGTGTGGAAAAAAAAAGAATAATGACCCGGCCCCGCCCTCTGCCCCCAGCTGCTCCTCGCAGTTCGGTTAATCGGTTCATCACTTAACCCGCTTTTATCGCTCGGCTTTGGCTCGGGACTTCAAAATCAGTGATGGGAATAAGAGCAAATTGCATCTTTCCAAATTGATCGGTGGGCTAATAATAAAATATTTTTTAAAAAACATTCAAAAACATGGCCACACCCAACATTTCCTCGGGCAATTCCTTTTGATTCTTTTTTTTTCCCCCTCCATGTAGAAGAGGGAGAAGGAGAGGCTGTGAAAGCTGCTTCGGGGGGATTTCAAGAGACTGGGGGTGCCCACCGCCTCTGGCCCTGTCGTGGGGGTGTCACAGAGGCAGCGGCAGCAACAAAGGATTTGAAACTTGGTGTGTTCGTGGAGCCACAGGCAGACGATGTCAACCTTGTGTGAGTGTGATGGGTGGGGGTGGGGCGGGAGGCCATGGGGGAGGCCAAGGCAGGGGCTGGGCAGAGGGGAGAGGAAGGACGAGAAGGGGGAGTGGGAGAGGAAGCCACATGCTGGAGAGGAGATGCCCTCCTCCGCGCCACTGGGAGGGCCAAGGCCTCCGCCACCTGCAGTGTCTCAGACTGAGCGGCTGCCTGTCCTTGGTGGCCAGGGTCTGCTGCAAGTTGATGTGCCACCCTCTGCAGGGCAGCCTGTGGGAGAAGGGGCGGCGGGTAAGAAGAGAAGGCAAGCTGGCGGGAGGGTGGCACCCCGTGGATGACCTCCTTGGGAAAGACTGACCTTGATGTCGGAGGGCGCTGGCCTCTTCCTCCCTCCCTGCAGGGTAGGGGGCCTGAGCCGAGGGGCTTCCCTCTGCTCCACAGAAACCCTGTTTTATTGAGTTCTGAAGGTTGGAACTGCAGCCATGATTTTGGCCACTTTGCAGACCTGGGACTTTAGGGCTAACCAGTTCTCTTTGTAAGGACTTGTGCCTCTTGGGAGACGTCCACCCGTTTCCAAGCCTGGGCCACCGGCATCTCTGGAGTGTGCAGGGGTCTGGGAGGTGGGTCCCGAGCCCCCTGTCCTTCCCACGGCCACTGCAGTCACCCCTGTCTGCCCCACTGTGCTGTCGTCTGCCATGAGAACCCAGTCACTGCCTATACCCCTCATCACGTCACAATGTCCAAATTCCCAGCCTCACCACCCACCTTCTCAGTAAGGACCTGGTTGGCTGTGGGAGGCACCTGCTCCATACTGAGGGTGAAATTAAGGGAAGGTAAAGTCCAGGCACAAGAGTGGGACCCCAGCCTCTCACTCTGTTCCACTCATCCAACTGGGTCCCTCACCACGAATCTCACGACCTGATTCGGTTCCCTGCCTCCTCCTCCCATCACAGATGTGAGCCAGGGCACTGCTCAGCTGTGACCCTCGGTTTTTCTGCCTTGTTGACATGGAGAGAGTCCTTTCCCCCGAGAAGGCCTGGCCCCTTCCTGTGCTGAGCCCGCAGCAGGGGGCTGGGTGTCCTGGTTGTCGGTGACGGCACCAGGATGGGCGGGCAAGGCACCCAGGGCAGGCCCACAGTCCCGCTGTCCCCCACTTCCACCCCAGCTTGTGGCTGCCAGCCTCCCAGACAGCCCAGCCCGCTGCTCAGCTCCACATGCATAGAATCAGCCCTCCACATCCCAAAAAGGGGAACACACCCCCTTCGAAATGGTTCTTTCTCCCCGGTCCCAGCTGGAAGCCATGCTGTCTGTTCTGCTGGAGCAGCTGAACATATACATAGATGTTGCCCTGCCCTCCCCATCTGCACCCTGTTGCGTTGTAGTTGGATTTGTCTGTTTATGCTTGGATTCACCAGAGTGACTATGATAGTGAAAAGAAAAAAAAAAAAAAAAAAAGGACGCATGTATCTTGAAATGCTTGTAAAGAGGTTTCTAACCCACCCTCACAAGGTGTCTCTCACCCCCACGCTGGGACGCGTGTGGCCTGTGTGGCGCTGCCCTGCTGGGGCCTCCCAAGCTTTGAAAGGCTTTCCTCAGCATCCGGGACCCAACAGAGACCAGATTCTAGCATCTAAGGAGGCCGTTCAGCTGTGAAGAAGGCCTGAAGCACAGGATTAGGACTGAAGCGATGACATCATCTTCCCTACTTCCCCTTGGGGCTCCCTGTGTCAGGGCAGAGAGTAGGTCTTGTGGCTGGTCTGGCTTGCGGCACGAGGATGGTTCTCTCTGGTCACAGCCCGAAGTCCCACAGCAGTCCTAAAGGAGGCTTACAACTCCTGCATCACAAGAAAAAGGAAGCCAGTGCCAGCTGGGGGGATCTGCAGCTCCCAGAAGCTCCATGAGCCTCAGCCACCCCGCAGACTGGGTTCCTCTCCAAGCTCGCCCTCTGGAGGGGCAGCCAGCCTCCCACCAAGGGCCCTGCGACCACAGCAGGGATTGGGATGAATTGCCTATCCTGGATCTGCTCCAGAGGCCCGAGCCACCTGCCTGAGGAAGGATAAGTCAGGAGACACCGTTCCCAAAGCCTTGACCAGAGCACCTCAGCCCACTGACCTTGCACAAACTCCATCTGCTGCCATGAGAAAAGGGAAGCCGCCTTTGCAAAAAATTGCTGCCTAAAGAAACTCAGCAGCCTCAGGCTCAATTCTGCCACTTCTGGTTTGGGTACAGTTAAAGGCAACCCTGAGGGACTTGGCAGTAGAAATCCAGGGCATCCCCTAGGGCTGGCAACTTCGTGTGCAGCTAGAGCTTTCCCTGCAAGAAGTTTCTGGGCCCAGAACTCTCCACCAGGAAGCTCCCTGCTGTTCGCTAAGTCCCAGCAATTCTCATAAGTGAAGGGATCTGAGAATAAGGAGGAAATGTGGGGTAGAGATTTGGTGGTGGTTAGAGACATGCCCCCCTCATTACTGCCAACAGTTTTGGCTGCATTTTTCACGTACCTCGGTTCCTCTTCCTGAAGTTCTTGTGCCCTGCTCTTCAGCACCGTGGGCCTTATCCGGTAGGCTCTGGGATCTCCCCCTTGTGGGGCAGGCTCTTGGGGCCAGCCTAAGATCATGGTTTAGGGTGATCAGTGCTGGCAGATAAATTGCAAAGGCACGCTGGCTTGTGACCTCAAATGACAATCCCCCCAGGGCTGGGCACTCCTCCCCTCCCCTCACTTCTCCCACCTGCAGAGCCAGTGTCCGTGGGTGGGCTAGATAGGATATACTGTATGCCGGCTCCTTCAAGCTGTTGACTCACTTTATCAATAGTTCCATTTAAATTGACTTCAATGGTGAGACTGTATCCTGTTTGCTATTGCTTATTGTGCTATGGGGGGAGGGGGGAGGAATGTGTAAGATAGTTAACATGGGTAAAGGGAGATCTTGGGGTGCAGCACTTCAATTGCCTCGTAACCCTTTTCATCATTTCAACCACATTTGCTAAAGGGAGGGAGCAGCCACGCGGTTAGAGGCCCTTGGGGTTTCTCTTTTCCACTGACAGCCTTTCCCAGGCAGCTGGCCAGTTCCCCATTCCCTCCCCAGCCAGGTGCAGGCGTAGCAATATGGACATCTGGTTGCTTTGGCCTGCTGCCCTCTTTCAGGGGTCCTAAGCCCACAATCATGCCTCCCTAAGACCCTGGCATCCTTCAAGCCGTTGGCACCTCTGTGCCACCTCTCACACTGGCTCCAGACACAGCCTGTGCTTCTGGCAGCTGAGGTCACTCACTTCCCCCTCCTCATCTTTGTTGGAGCTCCAAGTAAAGCCACGAGGTCAGGGCGAGGGCAGAGGTGATCACCAGCGTGTCCCATCTACAGACCTGTGGCTTCGTAAGACTTCTGATTTCTCTTCAGCTTTGAAAAGGGTTACCCTGGGCACTGGCCTAGAGTCTCACCTCCTAATAGACTTAGCCCCATGAGTTTGCCATGTTGAGCAGGACAATTTCTGGCACTTGCAGTTCCCATGATTTCTTCGGTAATTGTGAGGGTGGGGGGAGGGACATGAAATCATCTTAGCTTAGCTTCCTGTCTGTGAATGTCTATATAGTGTATTGTGTGTTTTAACAAATGATTTACACTGACTGTTGCCGTAAAAGTGAATTTGGAAATAAAGTTATTACTCTGATTAAATATAAGGTCTCCATTCATGGATTCCAAGGACAAGAAAGTGATATAGAATGTCTATTTTTTAAGTTCTTTCCCACTCACCCTTAGAGAATTTAGTCCAGAACAGGAAATGACATTATTAAAAGCTGGACATCAGGATTAACAGCTCTCTCTGGGGCCCTGAAGGTGAGAGTTCTCAGACTTGATCATTTGCAGCTGATACTCTCATTGTGATGCTGGCAAACCATCCTAGTCCAATTCAAAGGGCAATACAAAGCCTTGTGGCTGACCTCACGATGCGACACTCAGTTTGCAAGACCGGTGCCAGTGTATGCAAACCTGAGAAGGTTGGGGATGAGGATATGGGATCTTTCGTCCCTGGAAATTTAGTCCAGAGGCCTAAATTTCACCAAGCCAATCAGCTTAATGAGTGGCTTACATTCCTGCTAGGTTTACAGAGCTGCCTTCTTCTTTCCTTTGGCACCTTATTATAGATTGAGGAGCATTTCTGCTAAACCAAGATAGGGATACCAGATAGCGTCCTCCTAGCAATGCCACAAAGGAGAACAAAAACAAAACAGCAATCCATCAATATTATTCCTTAGTAACTACGCCGAGGTCGTGACACCGAATCCTTAGATTGTTTCAAAATACTACTTTTCTTTGATCTTCCTGATGTGTTTGCCACTGCAGGCAGATATTTAAGTAGAACAGATTTTAACTGCAGCTACAGAAGCAGCAACAGGCCCACAAAAGAGAAGTGCTATCTCAGAAAGCATAGCTTTCAGAGCCACAAGAGACAGCCTCACTGGCTGTTTCAGCTTGACTGCCATGCAAAGAAGAGAGCAGAGGGAGAACCAGCCCCACCCACTGACTCATCTTGTATAAAGAAAAGCACCTACCAACAGCCTAGGCTACATAGTGAGGCACTATCTCCACAAAAAACCCAGGAAAATTAGCTGGGTATGGTGGCACAAGCCTACAGTCCCAGTTACTGGAGAGGCTCAGGTGGGAGGATCTCTTGAGCCCAGGAGATCCAGGCTGCAGTGAGCCAAGATTGCACCACTGCACTCCAGCCTGGACCATCGAGCAAGATCCCATCTCAAAAAATAAAAAAAGAAAAGCATGTAACCTCCTCAGAAGATGCTATAATCTCAGGCAGCAGGCAAGAACCAACTCAGGCTCTATGCAAATTATGTATCTCACTGACCCCCACCAAACCTCAGAAAAATTTAACGGTGAGAAGCAAAATCTCCTTTAAAGAGCAATGTAGAACGGACAGACAATATCATACAGCAGACTTCACTAGAGAGAAAGTGGATCAACTGCTTTCACTCAACAAAAAGAAAAAGGAGACGATCAATACAGATCCCCTCACCTCCTGGCAGCCCTTACCCTCAGTGAGAAGCCACCACCATTCTCTCTCTGGTGGCCATCAGATGAACCTGCGGCATTCCCACAAGACAGAATGGAGATTTCCCAAGGTATAGAGCAAGTTAGAGTACCTCAAAGAATGGCGCCAGACAGCCAGCTCCGAAGCTGCCAACACTACCATACATACACAGTTCAGTAAGTCAAGAAAGGCCTGGTACACAGCATTCTGTAACTTTTTTTTTTTTATTTTTTTCAATTTTTCCTTCTTTTTTTTTTAAGCACTAGTCTGTGCTTTGCGAACAGAATCAAGACATTAACAAAGATCAGCTTCTCTGAAGAAAAGCATTTCTATAGAACAAAGACAGCTACATGTTTCGCTGCCATTACACAGCTCCAAAGCAGGAAAAGAAAATATTTACAAAATACAAGTTTTTTTTTTTTTTTCATTTTTTGTTTTTGTTTTTTTTTTCAATGCTAAAAGGGTTATTCAGAATTTTCAACCTTATAAATAGAAGAAGCACTTTATGCATAGGGATATGGTGCATTATTGTATTTTTTCTTTAAAGAAACAATGACAAACCCTTTAACTTGCAAACAGAAAAAAAAAATCACTAATGTTGAAAATTGTGAAAAAACCCCAACCATTAAGCAGTTGTCTACTATTTTTATACGATTACAAAATGGCCAAAAAAAAAAGTCTTCTCCCCCCTCCCCCTTTTTGGTGATGTGATCATACAGGAGACAGGCACAAGGTTAACAGAGAAGGGTGAAGGGGGAACAGTGGGAACCACAGCTAGGACCAGACAATGTTCCACAGGCAAGGGGAGCGTGAAAGACCAAGAGTGGAACTAACACCGACAGGGATCTGGATGTGAAGGAAACATGGCAAAGTGAATCAGAGGAAAAAAAAAAAAAAAATCACACAGGGAGATGGCTGCTCACTTCCCACAACCCCCCGTTTGCAGGGGAGTGGGAACAGAGGTTAAGTAGTCCTAACCCTACCTTCAGAGATCAGGATAGGTGGTAAAAAAACATTCCGAGTGGAAGGACGGGTTGTGGGTGTGTATGTGGCATTGGAGAACGGACAGGGAAGGGTACCAAGGGGCATGATGAGGGGAACCTGAGCAGCCACAGTCAGGTTACTGCAGTTAAAGAGTCAAAACAGAGAAGACCAAATGCAGATGAAACAAAAAATAGGTCTCTAAGTTCTGGGTGAGAAGGGAAAGCTGTTCTGCCGGCTGAGCACTTGGTGAGAGCAGCTGGCAGTTACGGCAGAGAGGCTCTGGTGGGGATGTTCCAGCACGAAAAACCAAGGGGGGACCCAGCCAGGAGGGCCACAGCTGAGCCCAGCCACAGATGGGAGGGGAAGGGGTAAGAGCCCAGAGCACCCTGCCCCATTCCACCCTAGCCCGAGAAGGCCATGCTCAACTGGAGCCCTCTGCCCGCCAGGCTGTTCTGCCCTGCCCACAGGTGTGAGGGAGGGGGTGGTCATCTAAGATTGGTAAGTCCAGTGATTCAACAGTGCAGAGGATGTGCCAGGACCAGGCCAGCAGGGTCTCATCCTGAACTTCTGTTTGCCAATGGGAGGAAGTGCTCAGGTGTGTGACAAGAAAACATGGAAACAAAAAACAAAAATTAAAACGAGAGAAAAAAATACCAAAGTAGGATCTAAATTCCTTAAGTTCACTAAAAACTGTGAAAATTTCCGGCATATGATGTTTGAATATCAAACGCAGAGATTTCTGAAGCTTTAATGCCAATAGTTAGTGAGTCTGTTTAGATTCTTGTCTCCCGCTCATCTGTGAGTTGGGCGCTGAGCTGTGGCTGCTGCCACCAGATGCCGACTCTTGAGGGGGACAGTGGGAGGCGAGGTGGGTGCCGCCTCTGTCTCCCGGCCAGTCTTGCTGCCTGAGGTGCGTCGAGTGCAGCGGGCTGCTCGCTCCTGTGCATCCAGCTGGTCCTCACACTCCGCCTGGGGACTGTGCGCCAGGGGGAAGGTCCGCCGCTCCCAGGGCTGGACAGACTGTAGGCAGACAAGTTGCTCTGTGAGGACCCAGACCCAGCCAGCCTGCTTCCTGCTCCAAGGCCCTGCCACAAACCTTGTGGCCGGAGACTAGGACCAGTCTATCTAGCGGTCCTGGGACAGTCCAGGAACACCCCTCCTAGGGTGTACCCAGACAACCGTATTGATCATTTAGCAATGATAAATATAGTTCCACTGAATGTTGAGGGGGTCAATTTAAGTGCGGCCCTTTGTCCCTTCAAAAGGGGAGGGGAAGGCTTATGATGTAGGTCCCTCTTCAGCAGATGCTGTCCCTTCCTGGTTCCATCCCCCAACCATGCCAACCCCACCCAAGGGCTATGTCCCTTACCTGTTCATCCAGACCCAGCTCTGGCGTGGAACAACGGGTATCCTCACTGGCTAAGTGTCGCGGAGTGTCCCGAGCCACAGGGGTGAGGGGCGCTGAGTGCACTTCCGGGCTAATGGGGCTCCTAGGGGACTGACCATGAGAGTATTCTGACAAAGAGTGGCTACTGCTGACATCAGGGGAGGCAGGCTGGGGGGTGGAGGGGTTGGCACTGCCCAGCTGAGGGGTTGTCCGGCCGTCTGATGACCTGTAGGACCTGTACACCAAGGAATGCAAATCTGAGTGCCTGGGAAATGTTTACTTATGGGGGTAAAGGGCATGAAAAAAGCATCCCCACTGGAGGAGTTGAGGCAAACAAAGACCAACAGATTTTCCTTAGGATCCAGCAACTCTCATTTCTTTCCACTACTCTCTGGAGGGGTAGGTATACAACATCTACCATCCCAAGAAAAAAGCACGGCTGAACAGTGCAACGGGCAAGTCCATAGCAAAGTGCCTAGTGAATTCAGGAAGTTAGGGAGATTCGTGTAGGCTTTGAAAACTGTAGTCAAAGAAAAAAAAGTAAAACAAGAGTTCGCAAAACTTTCTACTTGAGAATCCCAAGGGTTTCTGCCACTGTTAACAATAAATGGAGACAGGGGAGTGATGGACGTTAAGGGGGGCAGTTTCTTCAAGTGACATCACAAAGCCACTGTCCAAAGGAAGGTTAACTTGTAGTGAGGCCTTCCAAGCTCCCCTGGTTGAATCACTAAGACCCCCCAACTGTCTTCCAAATGCCACAGATCATGGGAATTCATCAGAATTGAACAGTGACTCCTCAGCAAGGATCCAGCACTTGGCTCCTTATATCTCCACCAGTTCCAACAAACACCAAGGAACTTCTGAGCTCTTTGCCACTGCCAGTAGATGAGTATGATGAGCAACCAAGAGGCAGTAGCAATTCCACAGACTCAAGTAGGGCCCAAACTCCCTGTCCACCCTCTCTCCACAGGCCCCGGGGACCCATGCCTGCCCCATCACCTGCTGCCCCGCCGCTGGGGTGGCACACTCGTGGTCCACAGCCACCGTGCCCTCTCCATCTCCTCACATTTGGCATGCAGGGCGGCGAAAGCTGCGTCAGATAGGTCTTCAATCTGCAACAGAGCAGCTTCATCGATCTCGTCTTTTCTCCAGGAGTTAAGAACCAGTCCCACCCCATTCTAGGTTCTTCCCGGTCACAAGAGAATACAAGGAGCTTGCACTTGACATCCACAGGTCTTGAGGTCATTTAGTGTGTGTGCACTCGTGTGTGTGTGTGTGCGCGCGCATGTGTACACACGTGTTCTTCTAACAGAAGAACCAGGCCATTACCTCCTCATTCTCCTCATCAGGACTCCCCTTCAGAGACTGAAGATCAACCTCCCGCCAGCTGCAAAACCAAGAGCAGACAATCATGAGACGGCAAGCAGGCTACAACCGGGGGCAGGGTCAAAGTGTCCATGCGAGGATGAGAATCCTGCACCCGTGGGTGACACTGCTCTCTGCCAGGTAGACTCTGCTCTATCACAGCTCAGTCTCCTTACCCCATCAAGGCCTGTGAAATTGGCCACCTACTCAAATGCCCGCAAAGGCCAGAAATGAGAGAAGCGGCTTAGGGTAGGGCTGAGGCTGAGAGACTGACAAACTCAAGAAAAGAAACCTGTTTAAAGGGGACCACCACTGTTCAGGACCAGCTGATTGCTCCCATCTGGAAATGCACATCCAGGGTTGCCTAATCTTCTGTTTGGCAACAAAAGCCGGAAACAAAAATTCTTATGTGAAATCCTGCTTTGATGCTGACAACAAATTCAGTATTTTTTTTTTTTTTGAGACGGAGTCTCGCTCTGTCGCCCAGGGTGGAGCACAGTGGCCCACGGTATCTGCTCACTGCAAGCTCCACCTCCCAGGTTCACGCCATTTTCCCAAGTAGCTGGGACTATAGGCACCCACCACCATGCCCAGCTATTTTTTTGTATTTTTTTTAGTAGAGACGGGATTTCACCATGTTAGCCAGGATGGTCTGGATCTCCTGACCTTGTAATCCACCCGCCTCGGCCTCCCAAAGTGCTGGGATTACAGGCGTGAGTCACCGCACCCGGCCACATTCAGTATTTTAAAACATACTGTATGTGTTGACAAAACCTGTCTCTAGACCAGTGAGTGAGTGGCCTACCAGGCTGTGACTGCTGGCTTGTTTGGTGTACTCCTATAATGGAATGAGAGAAAACTATATACATAAATAATTTTGTTCTTATCAGGTAAGAATTTCCCTTAATGAGAAGACAGAACCAAAGACAAGGGCCCAAGTCTAGGTCAGAAGAGAACAGGGAAAAAGGGCAATAGCAGGAAGAATGGGGAGAGGGACCAACTATTATGAGCTTCTACCTGGGAGTAAGGATTTCCTTGTATTGCAGTTTCTCTACGCGAGTTGTTGCAGCAACAGACATTGGGATGACAATGTTGTTAATATCAAATGAGCTCTCTCCCCTTCTCCTCCTAACTGGCTGCTGCTGTAAGATAAAAATTAAGTTTAAAAGGGAGGTACAATTTTACAGACATCAAATCATTCATCTAAGACTTAAAGCAGGATCACCAATAACCAGGCATCTGGGTCCTTGGGTTGAAGCTGAGCAGTGACCATAGGAGCTGCTCCCACCCTAGGAGTCAGTCTTCAACAGCAAAAACCTTGTGGAGAAATACTAGGTGGTCGTGAGGAGTTATTCCTATTCATAAGTCCCACTGGTCACCCTCTTCCTGCAAGGGCTCATGTGTAAATTTCATAGGGGTGGGTACCTGGGATCTTAACTGTTGGGGTTTCTACTCCATATACACCTCTATTAACCACCTCTCCTTTTATAATCCTCATTTCCCTCCTTTATCTCCATTTATGACTTGAGACTCATAGTGGGCCCCTCCCCAAAAAGCAATGCTTGAAAGCTTATCCTGAAAGATGCCCAAAGGGTAGGCTGATCTCAACAGATCATCTAACCTTGGTTGTCATGAATGCACCTCCTTCTCGAAGATCTGAACTCTTCAGCTAAATCTGCACCCACCATCTGCTCAGTCTTTATGTGATTTCCCCTCTTTTGGTGATTCTTGGGGAAACATCTGAGAGCTTTCTAGCTGTATCAAAGGAGATGAATGGAGGGAAACTGAAGAGGAGAACCTGACTATACTTCACATTCCTGGTGAAAGGAAATTTGCTTCTATAGGAAGTTGAGAAGACCAAACTCTTAAGAAAAATAAGACTTCCAAGGATCGAATATCAGAGGCAGAGGTAGGCATCTACAGTAGCTGGGAGACCAGGGAACTAAATGGCTTAAGTCTCTTGGATGGAAGAAAAAGTCTACTACCTGCTGCTGCCCAGATAGTTAATACCCTATCCTGAAACAGAAACTAGCAACTGAGCTGTGAGAGCCCAGAGTGAAACAGTGGCATAACAAACACGCTGTCATGGCAACAAAACAGCTGGAAAACACCTAAGAGGCTGCATTTACACCTAAACCACTAAGTGTGGTCAGCCCACAGGGAAGGGGTTGGTGGAGGAAGAAGTCCCCTACAACTAACCACTCTATCCTCTGTTCCTGGAGGGTGAGATACAATTTATTCATCCTATCATCTTAGGACATTCTCAGAGAATGTTGAAAGTCAGCACTTCCTGGGCCAGAGTTTCAGTCACTGTCATTTATAATTTCAGATGACCACAATGCCCTTTTCACTTCAATTTCTTTCTCTATCAAATTAGATGACTGTCAGTGACCTCAGAAATTTAGGATATCTGGTTAACCAAAATGGTTAAACAGACTTTTGGGAATCTTGCCTGAGTTCTGTAGCTGAGGATTAATAATCTCATACCCAGAGACCTCTGCCACTGCCAGATCTCTGCTGCAATTATACATCCCACTACAAGAAATGCATCTTAAGAAAGCCTCAAGAGAGAGAGCCTTCCCAGTATAAATGTGAATACATGTGAAACTGCTGGCAGAAACAGGTATATACTTTCCCTGAAACTTCCTGGGCTTATTGTTAGAACCTTCCAGAAAAAGATAGTGGAGCAGGTTGTGGGGTGGTTCAATTGGCTCTGTATGTCATCCTCCGCCTAGACACACCCCCAATTCTGTCAGCTACTCATTTGGTGTAAGTTAACTAGTATCTCCTATTTAGAGCCAGGGATAGAGAGCAGGTGATGAGAATAAAACTGATTCCCAAACTTGGTTGTACATCAGAAGCAAGATTAAGGAGTATTTAAAAAAAAAAAAAAGAGGTTCTAGGACTCCCCCTGCTCTTTTATAAAATCAGAATCTTTTTGTTTAAGAGATGAGGTCTCACTGTATTGCCCAGGCTGGACTCAATCTCCTGGGCCGAAGAGATCTTCCTGAGTAGTTGGAGCTATAAGCATGCAAGATCACACCCAGCAACAAATCAGATCTTTAGAAGTGTTTGGTTGGTTTGTTTTGTTTTTTAAAGCTGCTGAGGTGATTCTGATGCAGCTACTGGCTTTTGGGAAGCACTCAAACACTCCCCCTCCTCCCTACCTTTCTCCAGTGGCCTCTGGCTTCTTTCCCTGATTTCAAGGACAGCTGGCCCTCTGTATCCATGGGTTCCACCAATTGTGGATTGAAAATATTTGGGGGGGGGGGGGAATTGTGTCTGTACTGAACAGGTACAGATTTTTCTTGTCATTATTCCTTAAACAATACAGCATACTATTTATATAACATTTACACTGCATTAGGTATTATCAGTAATCTGGAGACGATTTTAAGTATATGGGATTTAAAGCATATGCATACATTATATGCAAATACTGTGCCATTTTATATTAGGGACGTGAGCAACTATAGATTTTGCTATCTACGGGAGGTCCAGAACCAATTTTCTTTTTTTGAGACAGAGTCTCACTGTGACGCCCAGGCTTGAGTGCAATGGCTTGATCTCCGCTCACTGGAACCTCCACTTCCCGGTTCAAGTGATTCTCCTGCCTCGGCCTCTACAGTAGCTGGAACTACAGGCACATGCCACCATGCCCAGTTAATTTTTGTATTTTTAGTAGGGATGGGGTTTCACCTTATTGGCCAGGATGGTCTTGAACTCCTGACCTCAAGTGATCCATCCGCCTCAGCCGCCTCCCCAAGTGCTGGGATTATAGGCGTGAGCCACTGTGCCTGGCCTATCTTCTTTTACATAAATCTAAAGTCTTTGAGAGCCTCAGGGGTTAGCATAGGGCTATACACAAAATTTTTACTCAATAAATAGTAAAAATTTCAAGTGATCCAGGCCTAATTTAACATTCTCCAGACACAGAAATATTGAAGTGCTCACTAAGTCCTGAATCTCTGACTTCAGATTTTCTATCAGAATTGGTTTAGACTCTCTTTTATAAATACTGAAACTCTTTGCTGCTGGATAACTGAGTATGTGAGGGACACTACACACCTATTTAGATAAAATTTGTGGGTGAGGGGGATAAAGAAAGGGGAAGAGCAGAGAGACCATTTGGAAAAGATTGATTTGTAACAGCAAAGAGAGAACAATGTGAATTCCTACCTGATCACAGGAGCCTACTGAGTCCACTTTATGAACTTGGAAGTTTCCTGATCTAGGCTGTGAAGGAACTTCCTAAGTTGCCTCTGCAATACCCTCACCCAGGTTTAGCCTGTGTAGTGTAATGTTAAAAGAGCTGGCTCTACAGTCAGGCTGCCTGAGTTTGAATCATAATTATAACCCTCACAAGCTGCCTTCACAGTTTTCACGCATACAAAATGAAATCCACAGTACTAACCTACATCTCAAAAGGCATTGTAACATGTAACACATGTAAATCACTGATCACTGGCATGTACTAAGTGTTCAATAAACATTATAGTTATAGAGTTTTACATTTACCATTACATTATAATTATTATACAAAAAGGACCTTTTGAGTAGGTACAGAGCAGCTACAGGTATATATGTTCAAAGGGGGCACACTTGAGGAATATTAGAATGAAATTAAAGGAAATGTCTCTGGAATAACTGTGCAAACTGCTTCCAAATGGAGTGTGCTATTGTAAAATCTGGTGTGTGCATGCCAAATGTCCTGCCATGGGGGCCTGCTGGATCTGTAATTCTGCTCTGTATACCTAAAAAGCAAGGACTCTGCCTTCTCCCTTCCCTTCTCTTCTGGTACCCTCAAGCCTAGTGTTTATTCTCAGTACTTCACCTCCACTCACCCGGAAAGTAAAACCAAGGAAATCAAACACTGCTTCCAATGCCCATGGGAATCTCCCCTCTACCCCTCCTCTCATGTTCACTTCTTGGGCCAACAGGATTAGGGCCATGGAATTGTTGAGTCCTCTGTGAAACTTAGCCCAACAGATCTTGAATAGTCACAGATCACCTTAAGAGTTTGTCCCTGCATCAAGCTTTCTATGGATGGTTCAGCATAAATCCATCTCTACTATGAAAAACTCAAGAAAAACAACAGAAGGTCAAGTACCATGACTTTGACTTAAAAATGGTACAGACATACATATATACATCATGATGAGCTGAGTTCCTATAAATGCCCTGGGCTTTATAACCCACCCTCACATTGTCCTCTGGAGCCACTTGAGTGAGCTGTGACCTGCAGAGGGGGTGTCCGGCCAACTGCACACAGGTACTTACCGATGTGCTGGCTGTAACCTGTGAGTTAGAGCTGGCGGGTGCAGGGGAGTCTGAGGAGGTGGAGAGCTGTCGCACCAAGGGACTGTGTGGAGGATGGTGGGTGGCTGCCAAGTAGCTCGAACTGCTCATGTCTGTGTGATGCTTCAACACTGCAGAAGTCAACAGAAAAGAGAAATACATGGCTATCTTAACCAGCGTTACTTCTAACACAAGCTTGGAATGGCAGCAATACATACTAAAGGCAAAAATGTTTTCTATGCCTAGAGGATAAAAAGGTGAAGCACACTAGTTGTGGGAAGTAGCGGCAGGGCAGAGGTTGCTGTAGCAGTTAAGAAGTGACCTGCATTTAGAAGCAGTAGCGTCCCTCTACTCTGCCTTCCTAGAAAGTGAAGGACAAAGCTGGGGGCAATTAAGAGAAGCCTAGGCTGCCCCAGAAAGCCCTGAGCAGGTGCAGTTGCAGGTAGAGGTGCCACGGGCCTGGCCCTACCTTCACTTCTCTCAGATGAATGGTCTCGCAATCTCATTTTGCTGTGGTTTGGGTCATGCACGGGTGGCGGTGGGTTGAGCAAGCGCTCTGCTTTTGGCGCTGTCACTCGCTCCACCATGGGCACGGCCCCCACATCGTCTAAGTGCTGCCTGTGGGTCCTGTCAGGCCGGGTTTGGTGATGGGACAGCTCTGAAGAGGGGAACAGAAAAAGAGCTGTGAAATATGTCCTCTCAAATATTTTCTTATTTGAGTTTCAAGCTCTCGAGTTCTCTCTAGGCCAATGTTGTATACCCAGGGCAGCAGGACAGTCCTTCAGGACTGAAGTTTCTAGTAATTTGCACAATGGCTAGGATAGGCACAGGGAGCCCAGAACCAGAGAAACATGTCACCAGGATACAGAAGACACCTGACCGTAGATGAACCCAATGCTATGCCATTGCTGGCTGTTCACTGAGCATTTTGGGTCTTGCTCCAAGATCCATGGTGTCTAGAATAGCTCCCGAAGTCCATCTGAGAGCATCCAAGACAAGCAGAAGCAGTCACTGTGAGCTGAATTTGTGTCAGTCAACTGCCTCTCCCACCCCCAACATGCATGCAAACTACAGATTTGAGAATATAAAAGGAATGAAAAGTCACTGATACTCTGGGGGACTTCCTGACTCCCTGACACTTACTGGCTGTTGTTAGGAAGGAGCTGACCAATTTGTGCCTGTCCTTACGAGCTGGATCTGGCAGACTGCCCGGCATGGGTGCTCTGTGCTTAAGCGATAACTTTTTGGGAGGTTTGATTTTGTCAAAAGGCTTGTTCTGCCACTGAGATTTCAGCATGCTCTGAAAATGCAGGCTTGTGGGAACATCTGCAAGAAACATAAAATGCTACAGGTTAGTCCAAACACCTGGCCTCTCTAGTGTTCAAGACCTACACTCCACCCTCCTTTTATTTGCCCAGTGGCCTGACACTTGGCAGGGCAAGTGCTGTCATACGAAAGATCTGTTTATGTGAACATTACTGAAGGTCATTCATTCTATTTGTAAGCAGGTCACTTTTGCTTTTTACTTTCAAGTCCCAAGGGGGGAAAAAAACAAAACACCTTTTTGTTTTGGTTGATGGAGTTTTTGTTCTTGTGTCCTTGTTTGTTTGAAAACATCCTGTTTCTATTCTAGAGATTTAAAAACATATTTAAGCCTACTTCTTTTCTATCAATATAGAGTTAATCTGGATGCAATTATTCAACAATATTCATTATCTACGTTAAAAGGCACTGTACTGAGTACTACAGCCTCTCTCCAAATAAGAACTACATACCATTCTCCTTCCTTCCTCTGCAGCTCCGCCAATTCCCATCATGAGATTCCCAGGGATTTTCAGCTGACTAGTTAATGTTCAATATCACAAATCAGCATCTTTTGGACTGAATTTTTTATGCTGTTTCTTATCTTTCCATTTTCTTAGATTTTTTCCAAGAATATATCCTTGAGTAATTCCTTTAGGAAAGGAATTTCTAGATTTAAACCATTTTCCTCTCAAACATTTAAAGCTATTCTTCCATGTATTCTAATATCCAGTGCTGTATTTAAGAGGGAATCGGTTTCTTTCTTACTTGTAGGTGGTCTGGTTTCTGCCTTTTAAGCTTTTGCAAAAAACAACAACAAAAAAACTTGTGGTATTACACTGACTCTACAGATCAATTTCGGGAGAACTTCCATCTGTTCCACCACCAACACTGACTCTTTCAATCTACTACTGACGTGGCATCTCTCTCTCCATTTATTTAGGTTTGTCTTGATTTTCTCTTGGCAGTGTTTAGTTATTTTTGACATACCACTCTTAAATACAATTTGTTAAGTTTATTCCTAAGAATTAATGTTTTCTGATGGGCAGAAGTTGGAAGAGTTTGCAGGGGTTCAGAAGACGACAGGAAGATGAGGGAAAGTTCAGAACTTCTTAAGAGACTTGTTAAATGGTTTTGACCAAAATACTGATAGAAATATGGACAGCGAAGGCCAGGCTGACAGTCTCAGATGGAAATGATTAAAGATAGTACCTTTTAAAATTTTAATTTCCAGTTCTTCATTACTAGTATATAGAAACACAATAAACTGCTATATAATGACCTTGTAGCCTGTGAAACTACTTCGTTATAGGTTTTTTCTTGTTTATTCAGTAGGATTTTCTATAGACATAAGTACGTCATCTACAAATGGAGACTGTTTTACCTTTTCTTTCCAATCTGTATTCCTTTGTTTACTTCTTGCCTATTACTCTGACTGGAACCTCTGGTGCTGGTGTGTAACTTTTAGATTTTCCTTTTTATGTTTTCAATATTCTGACATTTCACCACAATGGATAGCGGTGTGAGTCTATTTTCAGGCTTCTACAAAGCTTTCCAGGAATATTTAAATCTGAAGGCCAGCACATTTTTCCTCACCTCCCAGTTCCTCCTGGGAATCAGTAACCACCTGGGGCATGCTCAGAAGTTCCCGCTAGAGTCCCTATCCACTGCTACAGAACAGAATGAAACACCACTACTTGAAGGAAGAAGGCTCTGGTGGCGTAAGAGGACAGGAGAGGACAATCTAACTCAGCTATTCCAAAATGAGTCCAAATTTATCACCCAAATGCCCAGGTCCTATCACTACTTCTGGGTCAAAAATCTCCTTCTAAGCAGTTCCCACCTCACAGCAACTTACTCCTGGCATGCGATTTGGGCTATTTTTCTATTTATTTCTCCACAGTCATCTTGTCTTTATCCATCTTTCAAAAATAAGTACAAATTCCAGTCACTGACAGCATGTCTTCTAGAACTACTAGAAATGTATACTGTTTAATGTATTTTCTAAAAGCTTATGGGGTTTTGGCTCCCATAGAGCATAGAGGATACGCTCAATCTGAACTGGGGGTAAAAAGGCAGGGAAGAAACGTCTAAATTAACATTACTGAACCCATTATTATCTGCCAGGCACTGTGTATATCATGTGTGTGCCACTTAATCTTCGTAACAGTTCCATGAGGCAAGCACCATTATACTTAAAGATAGGGAACAGATGCAGAAAGGTGCATTAACTATGTCCAAGGTTACACAGTTTAACGAGTAACAACCAACTTTCAAACTCAGGATTATACAACCCTAAAGCCCATACTCTTAGACAATATACCCTGAGGCTACTTCACTGACCCAGAGGATGGGGGGGATTCTGTGGTAAAGTCAATTATTTCTCAAATTACTCCCAACAGACAGACAGTACAAAATATTTTCTAAGTCAGTTCTGCAGAGTAAAAGAAATTTAGCCACTCCTGCCTATGGTATAGATGACGAATTTCATGACACTGAATGTTAGGCCTTCCAGGACTGGAATAAAAATCTGAGTTGGAAAAAAACAAAACAAAAAAAGCTAATATTCTCAGGGATGATTTTTCCCAGAGGGTAAGCAGCCTCAGCTCCATGGTTTCTCTAAGAATAGACTACTGGGCCTTATGACAGTGAAACAAATTAGGAAAACTATTAAAGTTTTAATCAAAACAAACATTTGCTACCTGTCCAAGTGTAAGGACACAGTCTCTGAGGACAGTGCTGTCTTCTCAAATGTTTCTCATAATCACTCTTTTCCACACTTAAAAACAAACTCAGCTATACCAAATCTTAGGAAATAAAGCATTGTCTAGAAGCACTCAGCCCTGTAGAACAATCTGAAAGCTGGGCTGAGCTGGAATGTATAAAAGAGGCTCAAGAAAGGAGAGGAGGTCACTTCCTGTCCATCCCACAATACCCTTTTGTCAGCAGAAGAGCTACTCCCACTTGGCAACAGCTGTGTATATATGTAATGGGACTCCAAAAGCATGGATTTATAGTGAAAACAGCAATGACTAGAAACAAGTAGGCCTGGATTCAGGTCCTGGTTCTATCTCTGAGTAGAAGGAGAAAGCAACAACAAATCATTCGGCCGGACTTTCGTTCTACTTGTGAAATGAGGCGGTGGGGCTAGATCAGGGCTGGCAACATTCTAGCATTCATTCTCTAACCCTCCGCTCCAAACACAGCTGTCTTTCCTGTTGTACTGGAGACCTCAGATTCTTCCCAAACAATACATTAAATAACTCCAGACAGTTACTATCAATTCATTTAAGTAGGCACAAGAAAGGACATCTATTTGTTACTGCTAGATTATATGACTGCTATGAGTCTCTCAACTCTAACATGTTGAGTCAATGACTCTTCAACTGGAACTTTACTCCTAAACCCTTCCTCTCAGCTAAATGCTCTTAAGTGCAAGTTGGCACATTGTAGAACTCAAGTCATGGAACACTACCTTGCGCTCTCGAGTTGACGTATTAAGCAGAATCAAGAGCAATTCCTCTTTAAACCCAGTATAAATAGTTTAAGGAACTCCAGCTGGTAGACTTTGTTAGATGTTTGCTGTGTTGCCTTTTAATTGCTTCCATGTTAAGAGTGAACAGGAACCCAGTTAAATCCCCCAGTCAGTTAAAAAAAAAAAAGATCTCTTAGGAATTGCTGGTCGAATTCACATACTAATAAGTGATAATACGTAGGTTTTGTAAAGAGTTAAAAATCTAAAATAGACTAGATACGGGACCTGAAAGTAAGCAAAGAAAGGGATATGAAATGGAAGAGAACCCACCAGAGATCCATTCAGCTACATTCCATACCCATTCTCCTACATCCATTCTCCTACATTCCATACCCACATATGTAAACTGCTATTTTCAGAGAACAGCGTGCAGATCCTTGTCAGGTAAGTAACAGGAAAATAAGATGAATTACTAATGTCATCCTTAAGTTATTGTTTCCTCACAAAATGAAAGATGAATGAGAAGATCCTGACTTCAGGACGACTAGGGTCTGACATTCCATGATTCACCTGGCTGTCTGGCTCCTTACTTTCCACCATTTTCTCAGGCGCACTTTTTCTGGGTGTTTTGTAATGCTCACTTCTTCCTCCTGCTGGGAAGTTGCCGTAGCCTCATATGCAGGGTTTGGCAAGTTCTCTCAAAATACCATAGATCTTCATGGCCAGCAGGTGGTGCTCTTATTAAGCCCCTTTTACAAAGTTAACAAGCTGTTCTCCAAGGTTATATATCCTCTACATTTCCAACTAAGGATTAACTGGACTTGATTACTTGAGGTGGTAAAACAAAGCCCCCTTCCTGCTGGAATACTAATAGGTTATTACATCCTAGTCTCTCCACCTTCCACAGCCAGGCGTAGAGTTGGCTGTAACACAGTCCCTCAATTTCTATCACTTACACACACTTAATGAAAGTGGCTGGGGTACAGTCAAGGTGCAAGGCACAACTCCATGATGAAGAGCAGCAGTTGGTTGTTGTCATTCTAACAAACTACACAAACTGGTTAGGAAAAAGCATTAAAACTACTTTTTAAAAAATCTGTGAATAGCTAAGTATCACATTCAAACAATTTCCTGCATTTATGTTTGGTATAAATATAACTAACCATCCACAGGAATTGAGTCAAAATAATTTTTAATCTTCTTATAAAAAAAAAAAAAAAAAAAGGTGGGAAATCCTGCTACTTTTAAACATCTTCTAGAGAAGAGGTTATAAAGGGTGGCCCAGTAGTCAAATCTACCACACAAATGTTTGACCCACACAGTAGTATGCCAAGCTGCTAGCCTTCACTGTTACTCACTGCTATACAATGATGTACAAGGAATCCCAATACTTCAGGGGGTGTGTTATTTACACAGGATATTATGTGAATGGTGCCCTTTGGAGTTGGCTATCTCTGCAACCATGGGAATCTTCTGATTTCCAAATGGATTGCATTCTGAATGTGACAGTTGTCTGGATCAAAGCAGAATTATTCCAACAGGAACAATATTAGATATGGTAATCAGGTCTTCAGGTCAACCAACTGAGGTGTAGTTAATCCACAGGCAAATACAGTAGTCAATAGAGCCTACATGTAAAAAAAAAAAAAATCTCTCTCTGTCACCACAGTCTCATAAGGAAAATTTAATGACGAACTTTTTCATCCAAACCCCAGGGCCATAGTTAGAAGCTCTTTGTATGTGTGTGAGACATAGACAGAAAAACAAATAGGATTAGATGAAGGAAAATAAAAATCATAAAGACCAGAAAAGGGGGAGTGTTCCCTATCCTTCTTTCCATTCCCCCTCATTGCTGCCTGTAGTTGCCTGGAATGATAGTGTGGGACGTCTAAGGTATGCGGTAGGGCAGCAATGACGTCAGATCTATAGTGTCCTGCAGTCAGCAAGACAGAAAGTGTTCAAAGGAAATAGAACCTCTTAGTAGAGATGCTAAATAATGGAATAGGAGCTGAGAGACACACGGTCTGGGTATATTTGAGGGTGGGGGAGATTATTTGCAACTGTATGTGGTAATGCTGTTGATAAAGAAATGACTGTTGTGTTTAGCAGGTGATATCCAATGAGTGCGCTTAAGTGTCAGGGTTTCCTGTCCTTCAAGTATGAGACTGTACAGTTCAACACCGTATTTCAGAGAGTAACCCAACAAATGTTCCTAAGTCTTCCTGGTGGTGCTGTCTGTAGCCAGAATCCCGAAAAGGGTAAAAATCTGACTTCTCTTAATAATCTGTCTGGAAAGGAACTTGAAATATAGCCAAAGGAAGGACAGGCATCAGATATCTGGGTCTGAACTGTGACGGCATTCAAACTCATCAGCCATTTAGTTTTAGGTAAGCCACAACCTTACCAAGCCTGTTCCTTGAGCACTAAAACTGAAGTAACACCTTACAAAATTTCTGGGCCGGGTATGGTGGCTCATGCCTATAATCCCAGTAATTTAGGAAGCCAAGATAGGTGGACTGTTTGAGCCTAAGAGTTTGAGACTAGCATGGGCAACACGGGGAAACCTCTTCTCTACTAAAACTGCAAAAAATTAGCCAGGCATCATGGTATGCACCTGCAGTCCCAGCTACCCACTGAAGTGGGACCATCACCTGATCCTGGGAGGCCAATGCTGCAATGAGCCAAAAACCACACCACTGCATTCTAGCCTGAATGACAGAGTGAGACTCTGTCCCAAAAAAAAAGCCAGGTGCGGTGGCTCATGCTTGTAATCCCAGCACTTTGGGAGGCTAAGATGGGTGGATCATGAGGTCAGGAGTTCGAGACCCTCCTGGCCAATATGATGAAATCCCGTCTCTACTAAAAGTACAAAAATTAGCTGGGTGTGGTGCCATGTGCCTGTAGTCCCAGTTACTCAGGATGCTGAGGCAGGAGAATTGCTTGAACCTGGGAGGCGGAGGTTGCAGTGAGCCGAGATTGCACCACTGCACTCTAGCCTGGGCAACACAGCGAAACGGTCTCAAAAAAAAAAAAAAAAAAAAATTGAAAGCAGCAAATGAGACAAGTATGAGAAGAGTACTATACACTGTAAAATGCAATACACATAGTAACTGCAGTTACATGGGCTATATAAATCCAATGGCAGGGGAAGGTAAAAGTCAGTGACTCTGGAATCTGAAACACAGAGGAAAATGTTTTAGTGTTTTCCACTCATTGTGTTCAAGTTTATTTACTGTTCCACCAACTGCTGACTATCCATGTGTTCCAGGTTTTCTGTTTCCTTTCTCTTACAAGAAATCACACAGCCGCAGGAATATTACACCACATCCTTATCACAGTCAGAGGGGGCTTTGGTAACAAAAGCCAAAAATCCCGGTATCTACTGGATTTAGGTGGCCAGAAATGCAATCATTTGAAGAACAGATGCACAACAGGGGATTACAATTATCTAATGTTTGATCAACTGTCAATTTGTTGCAATCGTTTAGTGGCACCCTCTGGTTTGGTAGATCCGTTGCAGTCTTTTTGGAGAATTCTAAGAGAAAACTTGGTTGATAGAACTCCTGAGTTATCTCTATCTTCATTTTATTTTTAAAACTCAAAACCTTTTTACTTAATACCTGGGAGATTCTCCTTCAGGTGCTAAGAACTCTTAGAAATGATCTCTTTATTTGGTTTTTTTTTTTTGAGACAGTCTTGCTCTGTCTCCAGGCTGGAGTGCAATGGCGTGATCTTGGCTCACTGCAACCTCTGCCTCCAGGTTCAAGCGATTCTCCTCCCGAATAACTGGGATTACAGACATGTGCCACCACGCCCAGCTAATTTTTGTATTTTTAGTAGAGATGGGGTTTCACCATGTTGGCCAGGCTGGTCTCGAACTTCTGACCTTGTGATCTGCCCATCTTGGCCTCCCAAAGTTGGGATTACAAGCGTGAGCTACCGCATCTGGTCTCGAACTCCTGACCTCAAGTGATCTGCCTGCCTCGGTCTCCCAAAGTGACAGGATTAAAGACGTGGGCCACAACACCTAGCCTCAAGATTTTTACAATCTGGGGCAAGACCCATAGTGAGATTCAATATGGCCAAGAGGAATGCTCTTCTTTTGTCAAGTGGGAGAGGTACAGGTATGGGAAGGGAGGTGGGAAAGGAGGGTTGTCAGACACAGATTTAACAGGTAGGCAAACTTTCTAAAGCCAGTACAAGCTAACAATGAAGAGTTGTACTTATCTACACCCTGCAAAGCTGTCATGTTACCACATAAATGCCAGTATGAAGCTATTCTCCTAGAACACTGCTATCCTACTTTATATCATGGCACACACAGACAAAACTTTTTTTTTCTGAGATGGAGTCTTGCTCTGTTATCCAGGCTGGAGTGCAATGGCGCAATCTTGGCTCACTGTAACCTCTGCCTCCCAGGTTCAAGCAATTCTCCTGCCTTAGCTTCCCAAGTAGCTGGGATTACAGGCAGGCACAACCACAACTGGCTAATTTTTCGTATTTAGTAGAGACTAGCCTAGAATTCCTGACCTCAGGTGATCCGCCCGCCTCAGCCTCCCAAAGTGCCGGGATAACAGGCGTGAGCCACCACGCCTGGCCTAGACAAAACATTTTTAAAGATATACTAAGCGTATTTTGGACCAGATGACTGTGGCTAGAGGCAACTGAGCCCAGATCTCTCCTAGCTACTTGAAGAATTACAAGGAAATCTCCTATTAAGTTGCAATCTTTTAGTGGCACCTTCCGGTTTGTTGGATCTGTTGCAGCCTTTTTGTAAAATTCTAAGAGAAGACTTGGTTGATGAAAGTTGTACCTTGAAAGTATCTGAGTTGTAACTGGACCTTGGCTGATTTTCTTTCACCTAGAACTCTCACTCTCTCAAGTCTCTTTTATTAGACTTTCTAGTCTATGGTCTTTCTTACCATCTGGAAATGCTAGAACAGGGTGAACACAAGAGTCCAACTGGGAAAGACGTTCCAACAGAGGGGCTTCATAGTGAATTTCGGGAGGCATAGTGTTGATGCTGCCTGAACCACACAATGCACAGGAGGGATTCACATCACAGCCAGGGCGGATTGTGCTGTTCCGGTGAACCTGTGAAAAAAGTCAAACAAAACTGACAATTCAGCATCTGATAAAAAGCCAGCTCCCCATTTGTTATTCCAAAGATTGAGAAGACCTTTCTAGATACTTATATGATACTACTAAAAGGATGTTTGATTAGTTTGTTAAAATATTTCCATTTGTCTAACACACTGACCTTCAAAGTGGGTAAGGAAACTTGCTTCCTTTTCATTGATGAAATCTAACTACTTGAAGCTCTAAGTGCTTACCTAGGTATCAAACTTCTGACAGCTTAAAAAGATACTAAAACTGTGCTTTTTGAGAACACTTTATAAAATCTGCATGCTTTCACGACCTTCATGGTCTGCTAAGGCGAATAGTTGGCTCCCGATTCCCAGGTGGGACATTACTCGCTTTCTTCAGCAAATGTATCCACCTGGGAGCCTTCAATTACCAACCACACCTCTTCTCTTCTTTTCACACCTCCTCTTCAAAAGACTTTCAGGTGGTCTCAAGCCAGGTGGCAAGCTTCCCTGAAGCTTGTAACTTGTAAGTAACTTATTAACTACTCTTTAACCTGGCCTAAAATCCACTGTTACAAAGCTCATACCTAAGTAACGAAATAACATTTTGTATAGCAAATTCTCACTTTCATTGTCTTCATGTTAGATTAATTCCAAAGGGATAGAAATTATTTCCATTAAACTTCCTTTGTGCACATGTGGGCAGAATAATTGATAACTTCTCCACATTAAGTCCAGAGTTAAATATGAACTAATTTAAGTCTTCAAAAGATTGAATTCTGTAAAAAAAAAAAACCGAACATCTACAATTTTATGCTTTGAGCAAACTTCAGGTCATGCTGAATGCAGGATCCCTACATTCTAGTGTTAGGATGAACAAGTATGGCATTTGCCAAAGCCTAACTCATAAAGTCACCTGGACACACAGGCCCGGAAAAAAAATACTTGCATGTTGAATGGCACTATAAGAAGGCATCCAAGGAGCAAGCTCAGTAGTAGAACAAAGACAAAAAGCATCAAAACTCTGCTAGCAAAAACTCTTAACATTTACTAGAGCTCCATTTATTTTCAGCAGAGACATCTCGAAAGCCTTTTATGGATTTGTGTAAGAGAAAGATATATATAAGAACAATGTGGTCTTTATCAACATTCCCCCAACATTCTATTGCAACCACAAAGAGGTGGCACGCAAATAAGGTCTTTTAAAGGTTAGACTGGGCAAATCACACAGAGGTAGAGACCACTGAAAGGGAGTGATACCAACCAGGCATGCTACTTTTGTATAGACAACATTAACTGCTATTGTTTTGGGGGAAAAAAATCCCTGTATCTGTGTAATAAGAACTGGTTTTCTGGAGAGGATGACATTTTGAGGTAAAGAGAAATAAGTAGGTAGAAATGAAAATGAGATCACAGAGTAGGTGAGTGGGAGGATTCAGGAAAATTGGTTAGGATCTAAAAATTATACTGACACTTTCAATATTCAAAAGAGATTAACTCACTCCAGTAGGTACAGCAAATAGAAGAGAGAGACTAGAAACTGACCCATGACGTCAACTAGCTCTCCATATGGGACATTTAATATTCCATTTTACGGCTAGAGTGTATCATTTAAGTCAAAGTCAATACTGGGACACCAAGGCAGGTGGATCACTTGAGGTCAGGAGTTTGAGACTAGCCTGGCCAACATGTGTGAAACCTCAACTCTACCGAAAATACAAACATTAGCTGGGCGTGGTGGTGGGAACCTGTCATCTCAGCTACTCGGAAGGCTGAGGCAGGAGAATCGCTTGAATCTGGGAGGCAGAGGATGCAGTGAGCCGAGATCACACCACTGCACTCCAGCTTGGGCGACGGAATGAGACTAAATCTCAAAACAACAACAACAAAAAAACTCAACAGATGTGGCTCGGCGTGGTGGCTCACAACTGTAATCCCAAAACTTTGAGGTAGGAGAGAGAATTGCTTGAAGCCAAGAGTCAGAGACTAGCCTGGCCAACACAGTAAGACTCCATCTCTTTAAAAAAAAAAAAAAAAAAGAAAGAAAAAAAACTTAGCCCAGTATGGTATTGCATGCCTTTAGTCCCAGCTACTCAGGAGGCTGACGGAGAACAATCACTTAAGCCTAGGAGTTCAGGTTATAGTGAGCCACTATAACCACTGCACTGTAGCCCGGGAAAAAGACTAACATCCTGTCTCAAAAACATAAAAAAAAAACAGGCCAGGCATGGTGGCTCATGCCTGTAATCTCAGCACTTTGGGAGGCCAAGGTGGGTGGATAACCTGAGGTCAGGAGTTCAAGACCAGCCTGGCCAACATGGTGAAACCCCGTCTCTACTAAAAACACAAAAAACTGGGCGTGGTAGTGGGCACCTGTAATCCCAGCTACTTGAAAGCTGAGGCAAGAGAATCGCTTGAACCTGGGAGGCAGAGGTTGCAGTGAGTCGAGACTGCACCACCACACTCCAACCTGGGCGACAAGAGCAAAACTCCAACTCCAAAAAAATTTAAAAATTAAAAAAATAGAATAAAGGGTAGAATCCTACTTGTAACTTCACAAAAGGGTATATGTACACATGTAACTTAAACAGTAATTTCATTTTTTAATTAAAAACTGTAAAGTATTAATAGAACCCGAGGAGTATATAAAAACATATTTAATACTTATTATTTATTTTTGAGACGGAGTCTCACTTTGTCACCCAAGCTGGAGTGCAGTGGCACGGGTCTGCCTTCCAGGTTCACACCATTCTCCTGCCTCAGCCTCCCAAGCAGCTGGGACTACAGGCGCCCACCACCACGCCCGGCTACTTTTTCTGTTTTTTTTTTTTTTTTTCCAGTAGAGACAGGGTTTCACCATTGTCAGCCAGAATGGTCTCGATCTCCTGACCTCGTGATCCGCCCACCTCGGCCTTCCAAAGTGCTGGGATTACAGGCATGAGCCACCGCACCCGGCCAAAAATATATTTAATACTTATTAAAGTATACACTTTAGAAAATTTTTGAAAGAAAACTTGAATTCATACCCATGTTGCACAAATCCACACTAAGAATCTATCCTGTAGACAAACTTAAGTGTATACACACACACATTGTTTCACTGAAACAAGATGCCAAATCATCTGCATGAATTCATTTAAGTTAAAAACAATAAGAACACACACAATATTGTGTATTAAAGTAAGAAAACAAATTTTTAAAAAGTATCACAACAGGTGGTGTGCACGTGCAGCCCTAGCTATTTGGGAGGCTGAGGCGGCTCACTTGAGCCCAGGAGTGAGGAGCTACAGTGATCATGTCCACTGCACTCCAGTCTGGGAGACAGAGTGAATCACTCTCTTAAAAGAAAAAAAACAAGGCTGGGTGTGGTGGCTCATGCCTGTAATTCCAGCACTTTGGGAGGCTGAGGCGGGCGAATCACGAGGTCAGGAGTTTGAGACCAGCCTGGCCAATATGGTGAAACCCTGTCTCTAAGACTAAAAATACAAAAATTAGCCGGGCATGGTGAAGGGCACCTGTAGTCCCAGCTACTCAGGCGGCTGAGGCAGGAGAATCGCTTGAACCTGGGAGGCGGTGGTTGCAGTGAGCCGAGATCGCACCACCATACTCTAGCCTGGGCGACAGAGTGAGACTCCATCTCAAAAAGAAACAAACAGACAAACACAAAATTAACAACAAATATAAACATATCATGAGCACTAGGGATTTATTTCTGAATATCAAAATCATTCAATATTAAGAAATCAAGCAACATCATTTCAGACTTGCATATTTAACTGCTCACTCAACATCTCAGACTTATGTTTTTTTTAAAATTGTGCTAACTCTTTGTAGAGACAGAAGACTCTCACTGCACTGTCCAGGCTGAATCTCAAACTTTTGGCTTCAAGCAATACTCCTAATTTGGCCTCCCAAAATGCTGGGATTTCAGGCCTGGGCCACTGTGCCTAGCCTAGACTCAACAGGCATCTCAGAGTTAACATGTTCAAAACTGAGTCCTGCTCTTTCCCTATCTCCTAAGTCCTAAATCCTCAGACTCTCAGACTCATGCTAAACTCCTTTCTTTTTATCACACCTCATATCCAATCACGAAATTCTTTTTTTTTTTTTTGAGATGGAGTTTTGCTTGTCGCCCAGGCTGGAGTGCAATGGCGTGATCTCGGCTCACTGCAACCTCCGCCTCCTGGGTTCAAGAGATTCTTCTGCCTTAGCCTGCCGAGCAGCTGGGATTACAGGCGTGCACCACCACGCCCAGCTAATATTTTGTATTTTTAGTAGAGACAGGGTTTCACCATGTTGGCCAGGCTGGTCTCGAACTCCTGACCTCAGATAATCCACCCACGTTAGCTTCCCAAAGTGTTGGGATTACGGGCGTGAGCCACCGTGACCAGCCCCAGTCATGAAATCCTATTGGCAGAATCCAACCACTTCATACCACCTTAACTACACTCAATCTAGTCCAAGTCACTATCTTTTCTCAAATGGGTTTCTTCAAGCCTCCTAACTGATCCTCCGCCTACTGGCTCTTCCAAATCAACACAGTAATCAGTGTAAACCTTGTTTTAAAATCTCAATCATATCATACGAACCTCATAATCTTCCAAATGACTTCTCATCTCATGACGAATAGAAACCAAACTTCTTGCATGGTTTCCACAAGGTCCTACAGCATTTGTCGCCTCTATTCCCTCTCTGACTTCACTTCATTTTTTGTTACTCTCCTAGCTGACACCATCAGTTACTCTGATTTCCTTGCTATATTTCTCCAAGATAGCAGGCAACCTTTCACATCATAAGCCTCTGCACTTGGCTCTTCAACCACTAATTCCATGGTCATTCTCTCACATCATGTCTTTTTCTTTAAATGTCAGTCTTCAAAGTAACTTTTGTTTTGTTTTGGTTTTTTTTTTTGAGACGGAGTCTCGCTCTGTCGCCCAGGCTGGAGTGCAGTGGCGCGGATTTCAGCTCACTGCAAGCTCTGCCTCTCGGGTTCACGCCATTCTCCTG